AGGGACGGTTCGCCTTTGTTGACGGACTGATTGCTGGTGGAAATGAGACCAACGACAGCACGCCCAGCAGAGACTCGCAGACCAGTGTGCAGACATCATCAAGAACTACTGTTTCGAATGCGATACCAGCGCAGAGAAGGCCACAGATTCTGCCTGCGCGAGGGCCGCCTGGACGGATAGTGCCTGCGAGAGGGCCGCCTCCATCAGCTCCAGCCACCAACACCCCGAGTGCGCCAGCGAGTGCCAGTCAGAGCACACCAGGCCGGTATACGCTTAAGAGCCTCGAGATTGCCGACATCAAGATGACCATCTCTCGCGCCGTGGCCTTGCTGGCTACGTCAGCCACTCAACGGAAGACGCTCCTCATCTTCGACAACCCCGATCTACTCCTCGCGCTGAACCCGGCAATCACGCCCTCTGACTTCACCTCCCTTATGCTACAGCTTCATACGCTACCCAATGTATCGCATGTCCTCACGCATATACAGGCCGACAACCCGCTCCTCAGCCTCTCCACACCTCCCCAGCCACTCGAAGTGGCGCATCACAACCTGCTTGTCAAGTGCGCACACATGAGCAGGAGGATACTCGGGGTAAGGATATTGGACACTGGTGTTGCGAGGGACGTTAGCGGTGTGATACGCATTACTGAGCAGAGAAAGCAATGGTTTGACGTCGGTTTCGGTATCGAAGAAGACAAGGAAGGTGATGATGGCGGGAGGGGGAAGGAGTTCTTATATCAGGTCAAGAGCGATGGTAGCGTGCGGGTGTTCGAGCGTGGTGCTGGCGGCGAGGGCTGAGACCCTGCATTTCGCTGCCCGAGGAGTGGCTCATGAAGCTACATCCTTCAAGGACACTGTAGGATCCTAGCTTCTTGTGGATGTGACACAAGGAAGAATATGAACGGAAGTGTTCTAGCTGCATAGGGTATGCTGCTCGCCATACAATGAAAAAGACACACAACACCAATGCTTACTGTTCATTGTTGGAAACCAAGTCCACGGTCTCATAACGGACATACCCGAAACTCACATGATGTCGCAGCTCGTGCATGCATACATGCAACTATTGACCAATACAGAAGAGCTGATCGTATCACCCGAAGCTCCGCGGCCCCGAATCCTACACCCAAATATCTACCCGTGAAATTCGGCGAGCGACTGACCAACGCGGTGCAGCGACGACTCTGGCTTTTGGAATGCCATGCAACCAATACAGCAAGATCATATCATCCTGCTGCAGTGATATGACTGCGCCGCTCGGAGCTCCGTCTTATCACACCTGTATGCGATAATGACCTCAATGCGTGCGCCACGACCCATTCCTCACACAACATTTGCGGCTTCATCCCATGCAGCCACAATCCTTTACTGTAGTTCAAGCTGTATGTAAGAGGATAACGTCGTTGGCAAAGGGCAACCCTTACTTATCGACGCCAGTTTAGGCAGTTCGGGGCGGGGCCTTACACAGCATCCATGTGGCACAGTCGCTAGCCCCATGGTTCATGCACAACGCCACAACGACGCGGCTTGACAACGAAGGTCTGCTTTGATTCAGAGATGATGGCCATTCGGGAGAAATGAATAAGCGCTGTAGCAATGGGAAGGAAGGGGGCTGCAAGATGCGGCGTATGTAATGTGCGTTACACGGTATATATTTCGAGAGTTTCGTTGGTAGGTGAATAGGTACCGAGATATCTACCTCTGTATAAACTTCACCAAGCCTCGAAATACATAGATAAAAGCAGGCTCATCATCCTAACACTCGACATCCTCACTTGCTTCCACGATTCCATATCGGAAGCTCTCAACAATGCCCAGCCACCTCCTTGACCTCCCTACGGAAATTATCAGCCAGATCCTCGCACCTTTACCTACATCATCTCTTCTTCGCTTCTCAGAAACCTCTCACCATGCCCGGACACTCGCCAACGCAAACCTACACACACTATCCCTCGGCATCGCTCCTCCTACCCTGTCCCGTCCCAAGTTGCTAAACATCGATCAAACCAGCGAACCAACTTCCACTACCGGTAATAGCACCAAGAGTCCCTACTCCATATGGCTGCAGATCCCCAAAGCACAAACCTACGAATACTGGACCTTGTTCAACTTCCAAAGCGCCCTCGTGACCAGCATCCTCAATCGCCATGGCACCATGCTCCAGCATCTTGAGATAAGTGTATGGGCACTCACCTTACCCATGGTGAGCGCAATTGAGAATTTACGTGCTCTACGCCGCTTTTCGCTGAGGATAGAGAGGATCATCGGTGGACGCCGGTCTTGTGTTGCTGTCAAGCGCGAGGAGCAAGAAAAAGCTTGGGAGTTGCTCACCAAAAGTACGCCGGTTTGGAGCCGTAGATTAATGGCGTTGAAGTTGGAAAATTGCGATCTGAAGGTTGACCAATTGGCGATTCTGCTGAAGGAAAGTCGAGATTGTGAGGAACTGGGGTTAGACCGGTGCCGATATTTTGGTAAAGGTCTTTGGACGTGGTTGATGGAGTGGGAAGGGACGGGAAAGCTGAAGGTTTTGAATGTGGCGGATTGCGGGGGGCAATTAGGAGAGGTGTCGAGAATGGCGATGGGCAAACTAAATGGATTACAGGTACGTCCCTGCTCAAACTCTCCACCTTCATGTGAGGGCCTGGCGAGCCGTGTGTGTATGCACGCTGACATTGAAGTAGTCTCTGAATCTTTACGATTGCCAGGAACAAGAGCCTGGCGAGTTCGAGCGGTGTAACAGGAATTTGTGGCATGTACCCAATTTTGTAGCACCGAGACCAGGTGGTCACGGCGCAAACATGATTTTGGAAGTGGATCCGGATTACATGCAGTAGCACATGAAAAGTAAAGCAATTCTTTTGAAGCAAAGTATCTATATTCTGCACTTGATCAAGCAACGGATCGCAACGACGTTGTTGTCGAAGATCAATAAGTCCACTTACTGATCATGTGTGCAAAGAGCTATCTAAATAGGGCACTAGGGTATACAGTTTCTGCCTGATCTACCTGCCTATACAGTCATTCAACGGTCATACGTCATTGGTATCTTCAATTGCGTCCCGGTCTTAATCCCTTCGTCTCACCAATTGAAGGTTATCGTCCACCATTAGAACTGCATGTACTGACTATAATCCATGTCGGGGCGATGAAACACACCACCACTACCACCGAGTGGCAGGGTAGAGGAGAAAGAACTAACAAAGCTGTCTGTGACCGAGCCCTGAGTACTTTGAACCGCACGCTGCGACTCCTGGCTAGCACGAGTGCGGAGGTAGCCGCTGTACTCTGATACACGCTGCGTCTTCATCTGCCACTCAAGGAGCATGAGCATATCGTCTGTATTCGCAATGTTTTGTTCGCATATGGCCGCGCTATGCTCTTCGTAATGGCGACCGGGATGGAGCTCCGCTAGACACTCGGGAGAGTAATGCATCGCTGCTTGTTCTTTGGGTAGATACTGGTGGTCAGCCTCAATGAGGACTTTGGTGTTGGCGTCGTGAGCCGCCTTGCGTGCAGCGCGGGCGCGACGGCGGTCAGAAACCTTCTGCGTTGCTGGTGCACCGGGAGGAGCTTCGCGTGTACTCTTCACTTTGGCTTGACGGCGCTCTTGCCTCGCCTTAATAGTTGCCTCTTCCTTCTCCAGGTTGAGTATGTGTCGATACTTCTGCTCCAAGTAAGCACCGACCATGGTCGGCGCCCAGTCCTGAACAAAATTGAGTCCTGAGATGCCACTGTAGACATCTATGCTGTTGAGTTGCTTCAAATGCTCGAGCGCATCTTCTACTGACATGTTGTCGCTCTCGACTTGCCAGGCCAGTTCATCGCGGAGCGCCTGAACCCTTGCGTCGCGGATCGCATCATCGAGCGCTTTGCCACATGACGGATTGTTGAGAACATCCCAATACTCGGAGAGACTATTGTGGAACTCAGCGATGCTCGGGCCGCCTTTGCAAACCAGTTGAGTTGCAATGTTGAAGCCACTGTTGATACGAAGGTTCAGCAATTGACGCATCTCTTGCATGCGTGCGACGAGCGCGTAGTAAAGGTCCTCGTAGTCGGCAAGTGGGCGGCCGGTAGCCTCTTGGTCGGAACGCAAGTAGATTCGTGCGTGAATGCGCTCGGCAGTGAGAAATCCAGGAGGTAGTGGGCTGGGACCGAGCTGCTTCTTTTGCAGGCGGTCAAACAAAGTGTTCAGGCTGGGACTGTATAGATCGAGTTCGGGTTTGCCAAAGAGAATGCTGCTGCCAGCGAGATTGATGACATAGTTACTGAGCTTGAGGATGTGCTCGACGATATAGTCAGCCGGATAGGCTGTGGCTGCGGCCTGAACGGCCATGTGACTGATCGCTACTGCGAAAGTTGGAAGGAGAGTCTTTGCAGACATCTCGAGAGATCTGTTGTGTTGTACCTCGTGAGGTGGAAGATGTGAGACGATCAAGACAAGACTTGCTCGGGATAGGTACAAATGTGAGGATAGTGTAAAGAAGACGATAGCTTCTCGTTAATATATGGGTGTGGGATAAGTATCGGCGGAAGGTTTGTTGATTTGAAAATTCGGAATTGAGGAGGCTGGAAACGACTTGGTTAAGTGAAGGTGAAAGGGATGCCCGGATGGTGAACAACCAGTGTTCTCTGCTATTGCTGCTATTGTTCTTGCAGAGATTTAACAATAGAAGTGACTTGATTGTACCAATTAGACGGGCGCTTTGGAGCTGCGAACGCAGATATCTAGGTGTGGTGGTCACTCCGTTGCTGGAAGGATCACAACTCACGTATAACGTCACTACTGGCGGCGAAAGACTTTGTAGCGAGATATAAACCACGAAAATCGCTTCGAAGGTAAGATATAATACCACCTGTTCCATCCTGTGGGTATTCTAGCTCTTCGCTGCCTCTTTCGGACGACGTTGCTGCCTGGAGGTGTGGGTTATGAGGATGGTCGCACTGTCATCCCACCCAGTCATGCAGCGACTCACTACCACATTCATGCACGACAGTTCAGGTAGTCAACCTCTGAACCAGTGACCTAGCATCGAAGTTTCTTAGTCTCCGAGGCAGTTCGTCCTGGATCCAGTCTCGTCCTAAGAAGGCGCTTGTCGCAAGTGCTCCTGCAGTGGCTAGCCAAAAGATTTTCTTGCCTGTGCCCGGTCGGAACTCTTCGCCAGTCTTCTCGTTTCGATAAACAAAGTCGTTCTTCTTCCAAAATATGCTCCTGAACCAATATAGGAATTGCCAATCGGGGTACATCACTGATCTGGTTAGCACGCAGACCCAGGTCAAAGCTTCTTTGACTACTTACTGTTATTCAGGCCTGTCTTGGGATCGACAGCCCAGTTGACGCAGCCAGAAGCCCAAACTAGCTTCCTGGCTGCCTGTTGTGTCCAGTGCGAATCTGCAATTGCGGCGTCGTACTTGACTTCCACAGTCGCTGGCGGTGGCGCCAGCATCTGGGGAATGAATGACCGCGATCGATATGATGGGAGTGATTTGAAGATAGGCTCGAGAAGTCGGAGGGTGAAGTTGATCTGGCATTCGACGGTGTAGATGACGCTCAGATGGCCAGTGACAGTGTTTGGCCCCATGAGGATGAAGAAGTTTGGAAACTCGGGGACCACAGTTCCAAAATACGCTTGCGCAACACCTTGTGAAGTCTTGTCCCACTATAATATGCATCAGTATCTGGATTTTTGGCGATTACAACGGCTCGACTCACATATCTGTTCAGGCTAAGTCCGTCACGCCCCACAATCTCCATCGGGCATAGCATCTGCTGTGTTGCAAATCCGGTCGCAAGCACAATTGCATCAGCCTTCACTTCGCGACCACTCTTTGTCACCACACCGTTGCCGGTAATTCTCTCGACCGGATCGTCGGAAACGAGCTCGATATTGTCCCTCCATAATGTCTTCAGATAGTCTGTGTCCAGCACTTTCCGTTTGCACCCAATCTCGGTCTTTGGAATGAGCGCATTCCAGTACTTTGGCGGCGCCATGCTCTTGACATATGTCTCATTCTCTTTCGCCAGATTTTGTCGTATACTACGACCCGTCTCGATATCAAACCCACTCCAGTCGCGCTCCATGTCATAGTAGAACTTTGCGCGGTAGAGGCGCATTGCGAATGGTACGTAGCGCATCACGGCTTTGAATGTCTCCGAATGATGTGGGTTCTGACGTTCTGCGAGGTACTGCGCCTGTCGTCCGAACTGTACAAGTTTACGCACAGGATTGGGTTCATTAGCCATGATAGGAACAAATTGAGTCGCTGAGCAGCCGTTGCCTAAGATTTCGTAAGCATGATATTTGATGATTTGCCAGCACTGCGTATTGAGACGTACCAAGTACAACGACATCTTTGTCATTCCAGTCGAAGCTGTGGTCCCACTGGGCAGAATGAAACAACTTGCCCTCATACGTGTCTACTCCGGGTAGATCGCACGTCTTTGGAACTGATAGTGAGCCGACACCTGAGACTAATACCTTCGCTCGCCTCGTTGTTCGCTCTTTGGTTTGTAAGTTTAGGATGGTTGCTTCCCAGACGTTTTCAATATCATTCCAGGCTGCTTTCTCGACAATGGAATGGAAGCGGACGTGTTCAACGACTCTGTACTTCTCAGCTACGGAACGAAAGTAGGCTTGGATCTCCGGGCGCATGGAGTATTTTCGTGACCAGTTCGGGTTCAATGCGAAACTGTATGAGTAGAAGTGCGAGGCAACCTGTTCAGCTCAGCAAAGGTCTCGGTGCTAACACAAGATTGGACCCAGAACCACTTACGTCGCATCCACACCCTGGATATGTATTTGCCAGCCAGGTGCCACCAACATCGTCACTTTTCTCGATGAGCTCAAAGTTGCGAAGACCGTACTTTCGAATGATTTGGACTGCAAGGCCCAGGCCACTCATGCCCGCGCCTATAATGAGGACTTCTGTATCGTACGACATGGCAAAGCAGCTTGTAGCGACCCGGATACACAGCAAAGTAAAGTGGGAAGAGTCTTAGGACACGGTACCAAGGAACAGTACCAAAAGAAGGACATAGGGATATTTATACTATGCTCATTCTTTTGCCAACCCGTCCGCTGATCCACCCATCCACCCATCCACGCTCCAGAGCTACCAGACCTCCATCGGTGGGCCCTGCATCCTCCGTTCATCCTCATTATGTGCGGAGTATGGGTGCCGTCTAACCACTTCGTGTCTATGTTTGCGGGACGTCGTTGCGATGTGGTCGATATTTGGGCAAGTTTGCCGAGCAGGCAGGAAGGAAGTCTGCCGACATCCAATGGCAGGCCATCGGATCCTGCGGGGACCCCACACCTCGCACACGCGTGTATGCTGCTCGTCACGATCCGGAACTCTCGCTTTTGGCATCCCGACCTCTGCTTCTTTCAAATCCTCGTACGACTGTTGACAATACCCATGAGATGCTTGTGGTGTTCGAAATTTGAAGTCGCACATAGATGACGTCACTGCTTCGACGCGACGTTCGTTGAACTCGACGCGCAATTCACTCCCAAATCCCATGCTGGTAAGAGAATCACTAATCACGAAGCCTTGGCGTGGCGTTGGTTAGAAGAATCAAAAAGACATATATGTTCTTGCAAGCATAGACGATGCATCAACTAGGGTAGTAATGGACTTGCCACAGAGCCTCACACGAGATATATCGCCGCCACTGCCTTCGAAGCGAAGAAGAACGCTTGTTACAGAGACTGCGCGTAATATTTCAGACTCGGAGACAGCTGCACCTGTAGATGATACACCAGCTATACCGATAACTGTATCTACGCTGGCAGCAATTGAAGCCGGCAAGGTCAGAATTGACGATCATCTTACCTTCTTCAGAAGCCAATTAGCAGGAGCCTCTAGGGATACACTACCCGATATTCCAAGAATCTCCATCTGCAATATTGCCACTCTCTATCAGTCCAACCTCCAGCCCCATGGCCACCACTTTGTCGTTCATCAACACAATCACCCTGTCGCAGGTGTGCATTATGACTTGCGTCTTCAGTTCTCCAAGACGAGTTCCATATCCTTCGCTCTACCAAAAGGACTGCCTGGTGATCCGAATTCGAAGAGCACGGGTAGATTGGCGATAGAGACTAGGGTACACAACTATTGGAACCAGTTGATTGAGTGTGCGGGTAACAAGACTGGAAGCTTACTCATATGGGATACCGGAACTTATAGTATTCTCCCTAGGAAAAAAAGGAAGGATGGCATGCCAAATCCTCAGACTACAGAGAACGAAGAAACCGATAATGACTCAGACAGCGAGGCAACAGTGAGGAAGCGCAAATATGCAGACAAAAGGAGTTACGAGAACTCAAAGTTAGTAGAAGCTTTTAGAAGTGGATACATTCGCCTACGTCTACACGGCACGCGACTACCAAAAGATTACGCAGTCACATTGCGCCTCACATCAAGCAAGATGACCAAACAAATGACGATAAAACGAAAGCGTCGGAAGCCTTCTCAAGCTTGTGCTGAAGCACAAATTCCTACTACCTCGGATGACGAGGCAGGTGGTGCAAACACATCTATGCAGGCGGATACAGAAAATCAGGACTTAGATACCGATACAAATGTGGATGACCAAACACGCATCACCAACGCATACCCTGGCTCCTCGAACGATATTGGATCAATACATCAGCGACATTGGTTTCTTCAACTCGATCGGCAGAACAGTGGTTTTCGATTAGAGACATCTGGTAACGAAAGAGGGACATGGACAGGAGGCTTCAAGCCTTTCCTCGTCCGTGGTCGTGATCACGAACGGAGCGTCGTGACGGGAAGACTAGCACGGGAGGTGGAAAGTGATGAGAGACTGGAGGGCTTTGTAGGAAGGGGAGGATGGACAGGAATCGAGTATTGAGCGTAGCACACCCTCTATTACACATTAAAGAGGGAGCAAGCAGCCTTTGAACTATTCAAAATGTGGTGACGACCTCCATGTCTCCCTCAACATCTCTCATCTCCAAACCCCCGCGTTTCAGCTTCTTAGTACCGCAAGTGTACACACTCTCGAAGTACCATCGATGAGCTTCAATGTCCATGATAAGCCAGGCCATGTTACCCCTCAAGTTCATAGCACCATCATAGGTGTTGATGTCGCCAGCCGACACCTCTTGCCTATTCGGCTTGTTGATGTAGTACTCAGGACTGATATGAACATAACCCATCGTCAACAGCGGCAGCTTAGGAACCGGGTCGTTCCAATGTGTGACCCGATAGTTCCCACCAGCTTGATTCGTGATATAAGAGCTGATCTTGCTACCTCCTATCCTCGGTGATCCGAAGTTGTACAGCGCCACAGTGTAGCCAGCGTTGCGCATGCTTGCCGCTGCGAGTGTAGCGATGGCGCCACCTAGCGAGTGCCCTGTTACGATGATCTTGTAGCTAGGAAATGCGGCAGACGCTTGCTTCACAGCGGACAACACAGTATCGCGCGCATCCGTCCAAGACTGCCAGAAACCGCTGTGCGCAGTGCAGCCAGGACAAATGTCCGTTTTAGTAGTGCCAAAGTCGAGGTTGGTGCGCCAGGCATCGATTGTTTGACTACCGCGGAAGGCAACCACTACAAGTTTGTTGGTGTGGTCGACGGCAACAAAGCCGGTTACATCAGTCGAGGTCTCTTGTCTAGCCGTCGTTAGCATATTTGTAGCTCGTGGTTATGTAAGTCTCATCCTGGACTGCTAAGCGCAAGATTGGGTTGTGAACTTACCTACTATACTCAATGACAGTAGTAGAATCAGCATCTTGCACAAGCGGGCAGTTCCCAGTCGAGCACTCAATCTGATCACCGGTAGAGTCATAGTTGTTTGAGCAGTATGCCGCCGAAGCATACTGCTCCATCAATTTGAAGCTACCCAGAAGGTCTGCTGCTATTCCTGGGACTCATCAGTTGACATTGTTGAGAACATTCCGCAACTCCAACATACCTCGCTTCTGAACGAGTGGCGCAGCATTGCTAGCTATGGCGCCTAGCAGCGCAGTGATAACGAGAGACGAGAAATGAAGCATGTCGTAAATGAGTGACTAATTGAAAAGAATGACTTCGGAGGACGATAACACAACCAACTGAGCAACAATGAAAGAGCGAAGCGGATCTGAGACTACATATAACGAGGAAACCACCGATTCACCTTCACGGCTCGTGGTTCACTACGAAAGCCATGGTGTGCTTCATCACATAAAATGGAAATCTGGACTGCCGAATGCGGAGTACCAAGCAGCCACGCTATAACCCGCTCTTTCAGTCACACCTTGTATATGTTCAAGGCGAGGAAATCATTGGCACGCGTCTGTATCGGGAGGCTTGCTTGTGGTTGAGCTTGTCACGGTCCAGAGCGCGTTCTGTGTTGCTATTGGGTGAGACGAAATGCGACCCCGGGAGCTGTGGGGCGGCGGCTCGACCGCGCGGCACGACTTGCATATTTGTGACTTTGGGTTTGATGACACGAGTGTATTGGATTAGAATCATCAGGGAACTTTGTTGCTAGTGTACAGCGCGTGCTTTTGCTGTCGGGAGGAACAGATTAAAAGACACCAGTCTGCAAAAGGAGGTCGACCTCGGGAAAGGTCAATGCACGCGCTAAGTAAGTAGCGCGTGACGCAAGGAGGCTGGAAATGGGCACTTCTACGAGATGGGCGAACGATAGCATATTCATCGCATTCCTTACTGTCATACCACATGGGACAACTGGAAATGGATATCTTCGGTCAAACACCAAGGCGCCCACGCTCAAGCAGTTACTGCATTTGGGACACGTCTTGAGCAGCAGATTGTTGAGTTTGAGAAACTGCTTCGTGACTACCTAGGTACTCATGCGCAACAACTGCTGATGACAATTCCGCGTGCTCACCTTGCAGCAAGCTGAGTGCCGAACATACATGATAGTGGATCTGTACACGCTGATACCCATATCGACATCTTCTACAGAGTTCGTCTATCTCAACACTTCTTGACTTTTCCCAACTCCCACACCAAGAACAGATCTAGAAAACCTCGCTACGTTTAGATCGTCTATGCTGCGCGGCTTGATCTTGATCAAAGAGCATCCGCTCTACATCTCGGCCACATTTCTTGTATTCGTTTGCTTCCTCTCGTCAATTCTCATTCTGTATATCGGTCTTGTTGTGCTCTACTTCCAAGTCCGAAATACTATTAACAAACTAGCGAGCCTGCAACGTCAACGTCGACGCATCCAGAAAGAACTCGACCGATGTTCAGCTCTTATCGAGTCGTGTCGTTCAAGAATCGACGAGGTTTTTGACCAACTAGATGATGATCCGCCTATAAGGGGCGTACTTATTATCCGCCAAAGCCAAATGATCTAGAGGTTGAGGTCATGATTTGGAAGAACATCTTGAGGAGGCACTCTCGTACAAGAAACCATCGGTTGGGACGGGAGATGCTTAGGCCAGGTATTGGATACAACGTATGCGGTTCAAGGACGCTCTAGGTCTTGGATGTCTCAATACTGTCTTTCGACAGGACCAATGAGAATCGATTAGCCAAACAGACATAAGCATACGAATTTCCTATGTCTGAGACAGCCGTCAGTACTCTCAGTGACCTTACTATCTCTCTGTATAAGAAAGTTTACACTTACCGCCTTCACTCTTATCTCTTGTACTCATTCCTCCGTCCATTACTTATATGCTTCCACATTGAAGACCTCGTTAATCGACCAACCTCCTTCATCAGACAACCATCATGGATAGAGCACAAAGATACCATCAAGGTCTTTCATTGCCGAAGCACACGAAGTTTGCAGTCGAGCACACTGCGCTGCTGCTGCTTGCAATCATCATCCTTGGGTTAGATGTCTACATTATCCACTTTCATGCAGATAACATTCTGGTGTACTCTATAGTACTTGTGCGTAATGAAACCTTGTTTTGCATGCCTAGCTAATCCTGTTATTAGGCCACCTTCACGATCCTAATGTGCACCTACTATCTTGTAAATCTATATGCATTTACAACAACGCACAATTTCAAGATCTCGCTAGCAATACACTTGTTCATGAGCCTTTTCTGGCTAGCTGATACTGGTTTGGTCATTATGCTGGTCATGAATTGGGAAGAATTAGATCCTACAGCGCACCTCAAAACGTTTGTCGCAAGGGTTGTCATTGGGGCTTCTGAATGGTGAGTACAGTTTATGACGTATGCAGAGCTATACTAACACATGAAAGTTTACTCTGGCTCATGCCAATGGTTAATATCACACTTGCCGTTGTCGATAAGAGAGAGCATATGTCTATCGATGAGCAGATCCCACTGCCGCGATATGCCACCGCTTCCAGGCCGACACCCATAACGCCAACACAACGAGCCGAACCATGGGACGACATGGTAAGCCCACCTCCCCAAAGAGTTTTCCAGCCGTTACTTCCTGAGAACTAAGACAACTTTGCGTTGAACCTATAGTCGGACCCCATTCAAGAATCTCATTCTACATTTGGTCGGCATACGTAGGTAGCAGGCGAAAGTGAGACACCGAACACCGGTGAAGTTCTGGTCTTGTACGATCAGGGGAAAGAAGTCAGTGGATAGAATAGACAGAACTGGGCCAAACATAAGATTGATTAGGAAGAGGACCGATGGATACACTTAGATACCAAGACTAAACCTGTTACGCTTGAGGCACACATAGCTGTTCGTGATCTACGCCCGACCTCGAGCATCTCGTTCCCTTACACCATACCTTACCACCTAGAACGCCTCTGGCACTTGCCTTCTCGCACAAAAGAAATCCTTAACAACTCACTCACTCCCCTTTCTTCAGGAAGGTTAATGCAGCAACAACATATCCCTCCATTCCCACCGTCAACGTAGGCTGCACAACCGGTGCGAAGAAAGGACTATGGTTTCCCGGAACATCCTCACTAAGCCTTCCCTCCTTCTCCGCCTTGTCCCAAACCGCTGGATCCGTTCCTCCATACAAGAAAAAGCAACTCGGCTTACCGATCGCGGTAGCCAAGATACCAAAGTCTTCTGAACCCTGCAAACGCGCAATGTCAAACTGGTAAGAATGTTTGCCAGGTTGAAAGTGAGCTGAGAACGACTCTTCTAGTGCATTGGTAATGTCGGCGTCATTGAAGAGCAAAGGGAACTGCGTTGTTGGTGTCAAGGTGGGAGCATTTGGATTGTTTGATGCTTCGGCCTCGGCAGCGACGATACGCTTCACGCTAGCAAGTACACGTTCGCGGGTCTGGGGCAAGGCGGCGCGGACGTCGATCTTTAGGTTGGCTTCCGAGGGAATGATATTTTCGGCGTCGCCGGCATGGAAGGCAGAGACTGTTACGACGGCGAAGTCCAGGGGATCTACTTCTCGCGCTACAATGGATTGGAGACGCATAATTGTGGAAGCGGCTTGAAGGATAGGATCGATGCCGCGGTGTGGGGTGGATGCGTGGGCTTGCCGGCCCTCGATGCGGAGTTGAAATCTATCTGCAGAGCTGGCGATCAAACCATGCTTTGTTCCTATGACACCGGCTCTTTCTGGCATGACATGCGCGCCGACAACGACGTCTGGCTCCTTGACCTTCTGGTAGAGCCCGTCGTCTACCATGTTTTGCGCACCGCCTGCCCTCTCTTCCGCTGGTTGAAACACCAGAATCAGTTCTCCGCTCCATGCGTCTTTACATTTGACTAGAGTTTCTGCCGCTGCAAGCAACGCTGTAATATGCATGTCATGGCCACAGGCATGCATAATGGGTTTCTCAACATCATCTAAGTCCTTCATACGCGCCGTACTCGCATAGTTCAGCCCGGTCTTCTCTTCAACAGGCAGCGCGTCAATGTCAGCACGTAAGAGAAGGGTCTTTCCAGGGCCGTTGGAGAAGCTGGCAGCAATACCGTGACCGCCGATAGAAGTGTGGATCGTGAAAGCTTTGAAGGTTTCGAGATGTTTTACGATGGCCTCGGCAGTCTTGGCTTCTTGAAAAGAGAGCTCGGGGTGCGTGTGGAACCATTTGTCTGGATCGCTGTTAATGCTAGTATCGACGGGATTGAAAGAGTACTTACAAAGCTCCTCATATGAGGCTAGGTCAGGCTGGTTTGCCTTTACGATGTCGCTTATCGAAGGCATGATGTCTACTTATCCAATATCGCGAGATCTCCGGGAAGGTAAGATTCAATTGCTGTGAAGTCAGTCACTCATATATACACTCGAACACAAGGCCGATAGCACGGTAAATGACCTGCCTTTGTTGCGTTAGTGTCTCCTAGGCTGAGTTAGTGAGGGTGTGATAAATGTGGTTCCCGACGGGGAAAGTTGAAAATGACGTATGAGCGTGCGTGAGAATGTGGGGTAGCGTATCTGACCATAACGCTCATATCTCCATCGGCAACAGCAATACACTACGGAAATATGCGGGAAAAGAGCCCCCAGCAACTAGGAAATGAGCAGCGTGTGAATCAAGGAAAGTAGGTCAGAAAAGTGATAAGGTCGTTGATATTAATACAATGATGTGCGTAACGCCTGACTAAAGACTAAAGCTATGCTCAAATCCATAAACATATGCACCCACAGTTCCTCGCATATGGGCACACGAGTTCCTGACTCTGTTCTTTGGTTGCCTTCCTGCTGCAGTTGCACACAATGTACAGCAAATGAAACAAGCTTTTGAAGTGCGGAAGGATTTGGCTTGGCCATTCTATGACCCACTCATATCCTCGTTGTCTTTCTCCAGCTGTCGCTCAAGACTTCCCATAGGGTCTGACTCGGAACGTGGCGCGGGAGGAGCGACTGATGTTTGTTGCACAGGTTCAGGCTCAGCTTTGGGCTCAGCTTTGAGCTCAGCTTCGGGTACTGGTGCAGGAACAGATTCGGGTTCGGGTTCGGGCTGAGGCTCAGATGCCACCACCGGTGCTGGTGCCGTGCTCTCTTCCACGGTTGGAGCTAGGACTTCATTCTGAGCATCTCCAGGAATGAAGGCTTCTGTGGTGGTATCAGATGTCGAGATCTGGTTCATAGAGTTCTGGCGACTATGGGAGACGGCAGAGAGCGGTAGATCAGGTGAACTTGAAGGGTCACGCTTCGGCGTTTGCATAATCGTGTCGGTCGTGTCAGCCGGGACGGCTTCGAGTGTGGTCCTTTCGATTGTTGCGGTATCTTCGGAAGGCTCGTTGGAAGTCGGTGGTGCTTCGGTAGCTAGCTCGGCGCTTTCTGCTGGAGTAGCCTCTGTGAAGCTAGATATCTCGTTCGCTGGAGCGCTGGTCGGAGCTACAGAAGATGCCTGAGGGGTCGCTGGGTTAGAGGTATGTTCCATGTCTTGGTCCTCGTCTTCTGAGCCCTCCTCGCCAGAAGCCTCTTCTTCCTCGCCGCCGGCGTCTGCCATTGGTGTATCTCCGCCATCTGAAGGTGCTACTGATCCATCCTCTTGTTTGACGCCTGGTACACCCAGCAAGTCACCACCAGCAAGTGATGCTGGCGTTCCTTGCTCTGCTCCACCCTCGGCGAAGACGACCTTCTTCTTGCCTCTGCCCGGACCTCCACGCTTCACCTTCTTCTTAGGAGGTGGTGGCCTTCGCCTAGGTGGCGTTTGTTGTAGAATGTCGTTAGCTACGACCACGCCCTCCGCGTTCACCACACCAACTCCTTCGACGATGGTGCCTGGTGCCGCAGTAGCTGGTGCGACTTCAATCGCGGCGTCTGTGGGTTGAACTTCGCCTTCTACAGCCTGACCTTCTGGTACAAGCACTTTGTAAACAGCCACATTGCCATCGGCATCGAGCTTCTTTACTTTGGTTTCTCGCAGTGCAGGTTGTGCGACCTGACCATTGACGTAGGGTGACGGTAGACCCTTCCTTCTCTTTGCAAGATATTCTGGTTCCGGGACTTCTAGATGTCGTGCGACTTTGACGTACTTCTTGATAGTGAATCCTGTACGAATTTCTTTGGTCTCTTCTTCTTCATCCTTCATCTCGTTGTCGTCTTCTGGAGGTGCGGGTGGCTTATATAACTTCCCAGATCGTGCTGCTCGCAGTAACTGTTGAGAATGCTCAGGCAACATGTGAGAGTCTCGAGGCATGGGTAGTTCAGGCCAAGCATCCTTATCCAAAGGTTTGTTATCGGCCGAATTTGGTTCAATAGTAATTTCTGCTTCCCGGTATTGACTGATGGGAAGTCCTTCTAACACATTATGTTCTATTTGACCACGCCCTGATCTGTTGGATCGGTCCCTGTTCCGGAACTAGTCACATGATGTTAGCTTCCAGTCTGACAAACATACGCGCGTATATGCTATCTTGCTCAGATTAAAGAAAAATAGGTCATGGCCGCTGCTTTGCATGAGTGGAATGTAGGTACCAATGAGGTACTCATCACCACCCGTCAAGCAGGCGAGGCTCTAGACCACATGGCGATCTCTTTGCGACGTTTCCTCCACAAAACGATGTCGCGTCGATGATAAGAAGATGAGATGTTCAGGATGCGATGCACGTGATGGCAATAGCGATGTTACGTCGCGCGTGCAAATGGCGGCAACTCGATGTAACAGACGCAGCTTGAGGATGCACGCTCGAACGGAAAGATGAGGTGACGTACCGGAGCCATGGCGACGTGTGGTTTCCTCGATAAGGACTGGATCAGTCGGTGAAAGTGGGTATGAGAGTCGGCGCAATGCAACGGGAAGTCGCGATGCGTGAAGGGGAAGCGCGTCGCTTTGCAGATGGCAGGCACAACCGTGCGCCGCTAGACCCTTTTGAGTGCATCTGCGATCGCTGCCTTGAGACTTGAGGCGCAATCATCAGTCTCCTGCATAGCCTTTCAATAAAGTGATTTCAGTCAATTTTAAAACATCAAATCCAATTCATTCAACTCTCCGATATACTTCTATCTGATCTAGCATTGTGGTTTGGTTGATCCCAGTTCTGCAATGACGCATACGAACGAGCCACTTATAAGTTCCGCAAATCAAACAATATACACACGATAGAAGACAAGACAATGAAACATTCACACCAACAATAGTCGTGATGTTTTCCTAACAACTCATGTTTTTTGTACAAGCGCAGGAAGCACCGATACTTGTTGTCATGCGAACTTCACATTTAATCTGAACATTCCATTCGATAGAGTTGAATGATAGGCACGATATAGTACAGTATACTCATTCTCGATTTTCCATCGTCGTCGGGACAGGCGCAGCTGTTCTGCTACCGTGCATGTTCCCGCATCCGCATGCAATGTACGCCATATTGTTACAAGATCATTTCGTCTCATTATCCGTATCCGCACTTTTGAGCGGACCACTCAGTCCCAGCCCTGATCCTTCACTCTGACGATGCCATTTCTGTTACCCTTTTGCTTGCCCTCTTTCCCTCCTTCGACGACTAATCGATCGATCTGGTAGAATTGGCTTATCACCGTTTGCCTCTGTGAACCGAGTCAGCATCCATCCCAGTGCATTCTATGCTACACTCCTGCGCCCCATCTGTCGTTGTCGCATCCCACAAAATGCATCCCCTGATGGGTTTATAGGCTGCGATCTGTTTTGCTTGCCACCTTTTCCGCCGCGCGCGCTGCAGACCCTCCACCTCCAATACCGAACGAGCAGAAATCTATCTTACCTTCAGCATTTGCAATTCGCTCAAGCCCTTCTGTACCAGCTCTTGTATTGTTCGCTCTTCTGTCACATTCTTGCTGTCCCGGAACGCATCGCGAGTTCTCCGTTTGGCGTATTCGCGGAAATTGTAGGCGGCGAACTGGCTGCTCTGGCGCAGGAGGGAACGGTACTGCAGAGAGTAATTAGTCAATGTTCTACGACAAGAGAAGCGACATGTGCGCGCGCAGTACATCTGCACAGTACACGTAGGGACAGCGCAGAAGTACTGCGGGAATCCCATGAGGCGACACATCATGAGTCGCTGCAGCGGATATATCGAAATAATGTAGGAAGGGTACGTACGAGCGAGCGCACTTGATAGGCCATGTCGCCTTTTGTTGCCTGTGCTAATGACATGATTGCGGACGATGTGCGGAAGTGTGTATGAGGGCTGTGCGACCTGGGAATAAAAGTCGCTGGTTAGGTCATAGGTCTGGGGCACATGTCGGAGCGAAGCTTCGAAAGTCCGAGCAGTGAGCAGAACTACCACAGCTTGCCCCACGCTAAACACTGCGGAAACGGATTGTAGATGGAGCACGAAATTGAGGTACACTTTTCATTAAGCTTTTGCAGCTGTTGTTTTACAACCGAGCTAATGACTCGGAACTATCGAACCTATGAAGCTCTTTTGGCTTCTGGTCGGTGGTATACACAAGTGACATCGCCAAAAACGCCACCCAATGCAAGTAGAGCAATTGATGTCCTGAACAACGAATCACGTGGAAGAAAAATCAAGACTTACTCGTATCCACGCCCTATTGGCGATGCTTCTCTTGAATCCTGCGAAGCTGCTCCTGGACATTCATGCTTTGCATTTGCGAAAGACGGGCAGCGTCCTTGGCAGGATCAGGCTGGCCGTCGTACGACAATGCAGCTTTCTTCCTCCGAGCTTCTTCCTCTGCAGATATGGGTAATCCTGTAGCACCATCGTAGATATCTTCGCGCTGACTAGCGAAACGTTTAAGGTTGTTTGCAACGTCGGCGGTGTTAATCGTGGTAGAGTACCGGGCTTCCGCCTTGTCGCGCTGTTCCTTCCAGCGTGGATCAAGCAATTCGACTAGCATACAGCGTTAGTAAAGGCTCTTGGAAAAATAGAAAAAGGGGAAAACTTACTGCGAACGTGCTCGTCCATCTCGTTTGAGGGGATTTGCTGCTTGCAGTTAGGGCATACGGCCATCGGAACGTTTGCCTTCTTTGCGGCAGCGCGGGGAACGTAGTCTGTGACAATGCGACCAGGCGCTCCTCTGGCAGCAGCCTGAGCGCGTGCGCGCTGCTCGTTCTCCGCTTGACGCTCCCTTGCCTGCCGAGCTTGCTCTTCCTCGCGTGATATCTGTGCCGGCGTCCGGTAGTCGGGCATAGGGGGAGGCGCGTAGGACGGTACGCCATAGGGTGGCTGCACAGGTGGTGCGGCAGGGGCGTAGTTTGGCGGCATCTGAGGCGGTGGGACCTGCTGCTGTGAGACGTTGTAGTAAGTCATCTCGTCGGGCATGGCTTCTTCGAGACGCCTTGTTGATAGTGAGACCGCAGCCTTCTGTTCGAGCGACTGCGACTGCAGATCATTCAGCTGTGCGGGAGGAGGCAGATCCGCTGCATCGTCAGCTTCATCAAAGAGCACAGTCGCGATGACTGTAAAGTCGTGCCAGTCGACCGTCGCATACTCTTGCTTCTCGGCCTCCACCTTCTTCTCCTCTTTCTCTTTCTGTGCAGTCACATATTTGACGTACTCGGCGCGTCCCTTGGCGCGATCTAACACATGGAATCGGTTCTTGATGTTTTGCTGCAACTCCTCGATGCGTGCCTCGACTGTGGCTTCTTCCTCAAGCAGGATCTTGTACTGTTCAACGAGCGATCGGAAGAACTGGAAGAAGCTGTGATTTGGTCGGAGAAAATCAAACTGAAAGTTGCCAGACTCACGGTTGCGCAAGTCCTTCAACCAGTTCTCACCCACGCGCGCCGTGTACAGAGCAGTGAGCTTCAACACCTCCAAATCCTTTGCGCTGATGTTGGGCATACGCGCGGAAAAGCGGAACTTGGGCGGTTCTGGAGGACCCTTGGGTTTGTTGTCAACCACTTGCTTAGCACTTCCAGCTGATCGCCCATGGCCCTCCTTGAGTTGCTGAAGATACCACAGGAAGTAGGCATTGTAGGGGTCCTCCTCCAAAACGAATACAAAGTTACGGTTGTTCGCAGCTGAAGGATCAGACGTGACGCGCTGCTTCAGTCCATTGAAATGTGATTCGCCTCGGCGGGCGACGAAATCAGCCGTCTTTGCGATCGTTTCGCGCACGTTGGGTGGGGGGATAACCAGGTTCTCTGGTGGCTTGACGTCGAGCTCTGGCGGTCCTGCAGGAGCGCCTTCACCGTTGGAATTGGCCATGGCGCGTTGTGATGATGTTCGTTACGGGTTCGAGGGATGGTATCGGTAGTCCTGTTTACGAGTCGCAAAAGATAGGTAAACCGATCGCCAGGGCAGGAACAAGGGGTTCTTTCTAGGCGCCGGGAGCAAGATCTCAATCGCGACTACCTGCTGTTACTGGCTTGCGCGTAGATCGCGTGGGGCGGTTGCGGACGATGGGGTAGCGGCGACTGGGCTTGGAGTTGTCGCAAAGTTCCCATAGTACAACAGGCCCGCTGCTGCGAGAAAGATGTTCCGGGCCGACGATTTTCAGCCACAGTTGAGCCACACATGTCAAGGTGAAGCACTCGGCGCAATACCCAAGGCGCCTCAGCTTGCGAACGCTGTCAAGTCGTCAGACCACTATTGCCGGAAAGATCGCCTGGACTCTTCAACTTGGACAGAACATTGCGTGGAGTGATTGTTCTATACGGGCCTTGACCTATTTTCAGCCCTCCCAGTTCGGTAAGGCCCGTCGTAAGGAACAGCTTGCAACTAGGGTTAATTGGTACGCAACGCAACCACTACTCCTCGCGGGACCCTCCCCCTAGCTTGAACTGTTGCGCCTACCATTGAGACTCCCACCTCTTCTCTCCTCTCATCTTGATGGAACTCTTTTTCAACTCTCTTTAATTCTTTTTGTTACGACATTGGCCCCAAGCGCCTTCCACCCAGACTATAGTTGCAACTCCGCAGCGTTCCCAACTTTTGGTACAACGCCGTCTACCAGCTGATCGAGCCACGACACATCGTCACCTCCCGCCGTCATGGCGAGCCTATCGGCATCCAATGCCTACCTAGGCGAGAAGCCCCAATCGAAGAGATCCAAGTCGCGTTCCAAGTCGCGGTCGCCAGCACCCAACGGCCGAAAGCAGCAAAAGACGCAGCATCAGCAGCAGCAGAATGTCCAAGGCTACACCTCCGAGGGAGTGCAAGACCATGATATCTTCAACCTCCCCGGATCGGACTGGTCGTTGTTGGCCATGTTGACTGGCGTGGCTGCTGTTGTACGCCTCTTCCGCATTCAACAGCCGACCAGCGTTGTCTTCGACGAAGTCCAGTAAGCCGCATCGTCTAAGCAAGAATCTAAAGAACTTGTTCGCTGACTTACATCTCAGCTTCGGTGGGTTTGCGTCGAAATACATCAAGGGCAGGTTCTTCATGGATGTCCACCCTCCGCTTGCGAAACTCCTCATCACATTGGCAGGATGGTTAGGTGGATTTGACGGAAACTTCGACTTCAAGGATATTGGCAAGGATTACCTGGAGCCCAAGGTTCCATATGTCACTATGCGCATGTTGCCCGCCATCCTCGGTATTCTGACGATTCCGACCATGTTCCTTACTCTGAAGGCTGCTGGCTGCCGTACTACCACCGCAGCCCTGGGTGCTGGCCTCGTCATCTTCGGTAGGACGCACACATCCATCTATCACCATATATACTAACCATTGCTAGACAACGCACTCGTGACCCAGTCCCGCCTTATCCTCCTCGACTCGCCGCTCGTCATCTTCACAGCCCTTACCGCACTCGCCTGGACAAGCTTCATGAACCAGCACGAACAAGGACCCGCAAAGGCCTTCCAGCCATCCTGGTGGTTCTGGTTGGTCACTTCCGGTGTTGGACTCGGCGCAACAGTCAGTGTCAAGTGGGTTGGCCTATTTACTATTGCCTGGGTCGGCAGCTTGACGCTTGTGCAACTCTGGGTCCTTCTTGGGGACACCAAGAACGTCACACCACGATTATGGTTCAAGCACTTCTTCGCCCGCATGTTCTGCTTGATTGTCATTCCTGTCTCGTTCTACATGGCCATGTTCGGAATCCATTTCCTCTGCCTGGTCAACCCTGGCGAAGGTGACGGCTTCATGTCCTCGGAATTCCAAGCGACACTGAACTCCAAGGGCATGCAAGCTGTTCCTGCTGACGTCGCCTATGGAAGCCGTGTCTCTCTGCGCCACTGGAACACTCAGGGTGGATACCTTCATTCACACAGTCACATGTACCCAACCGGTAGCAAGCAGCAACAAATCACGCTTTATCCCCACAAGGACGAGAACAATATCTGGATTCTAGAGAACCAGACTCTGCCGATCATGCCTGAAGACTACAATGGACCAAACCTCACAAGCCCAAAGGCATGGGACAACGTCGGCCCAGATTACATCGAGGATGGTGGTGTCATTCGTCTTTACCATATCACTACCGATCGCCGCCTTCACTCCCACGATGTCCGCGCGCCTGTTACTGAGGCTGACTGGCAAAACGAAGTTTCTGCGTACGGCTACGAAGGCTTTGAGGGCGACGCGAACGACCTCTTCCGTATTGAGATTGTTAAGAGCAAGTCTGACGGAGCCGTGGCTAAGAAGCGCGTCCGAACTATCCAGACGAAGTTTAGGCTTGTCCACGTCATGACTGGCTGCGCGCTATTCTCGCACAAAGTCAAGCTTCCCGACTGGGGTTTTGAGCAGCAAGAGGTTACCTGCGCTAGGCAAGGTACCTTGCCCAACAGCATCTGGTACATCGAGGGCAATGTCCACCCGTTGATGGTGGATGGTGAGGTCGAGAAGGTCAACTACCGTAACCCCGGGTTTTTCGGCAAGTTCTGGGAATTGCAGAAGGTCATGTGGAAGACCAACGCTGGCCTTACTGAATCGCATGCCTGGGATTCTCGCCCTCCATCTTGGCCAATCCTACGCCGCGGTATCAACTTCTGGGGCAAGCACAACCGTCAGATCTACCTTTTGGGTAACCCAGTGATTTGGTGGAGCTCTAGCGCGCTCATTGCTCTCTACATTGCTATCAAGGGTATCGCAATCCTTCGCTGGCAGCGCGGCTACCGCGACTACAGCAATGTCACCTTCAAGCGTTTCGACTACGAGGTCGGCATGAGTATTCTCGGATGGGCCTTCCATTACTTCCCATTCTACCTGATGGCGCGTCAACTGTTCTTGCACCACTACCTACCCGCTCTTTACTTTGCCATTCTCGCTCTTTGCCAGATCTTCGACTTTGTAAGCTACCGCTTCAGCATCTTTGGCCTGAGGCAGTACCCTGCTATCGGTCAAGCAGCAGCTGTTGGTTTCCTGGCTATCGCCATCATGGTCTTCACCGTATACTCTCCATTAGCATACGGCAACGCATGGACCAAGGATGCTTGCAACAATGTCAAGCTCTTCGACTCTTGGGACTGGGACTGCAACAACTTCCTCACTTCTGTAAGTACTCTTCACATGGTGAACGGCCGACACCTACTAACTGATTCCAGTATGAAGCATACAACACCATGCACTCTGAGCCGGTAGCATCTGTCGCTGTACCTTCTTCAGCACCTCCTGCGCCTCCAGTCCAAGCCGCACCAGAAGTCGTTCCCCAAGTTCAGCAAGAGCAACCCAAGGAGCAGCAAAATCAGCAGCAAAATCAGCAACCAATCCAGGAAGCAAAGGAGCCGAAGCAGGAGAATGTGATGTCTGAACAAGCGGTAGTTTCCCAGCCACCTCAGGAGCCTCCCAAGGACCTCCCGGTTGTATCGAAAGAAGAGCGTATTGAGTACCGCGACGAGAACGGCCGTATCCTCGACGATGATGAGGTATCAGCACTTGCCGGCAAAGTCAGCTTCAAGACCCGCTACGAGACCCGGACCCGTATTATCGATGGTGAAGGTCACGAGATCTATGAGGGCCTCGTGGACTCACATGGCGATGCTGAGGAAAATGGCGTTGCCCCTCCCCATCCTGACGCCGAGGGCCGTAATCCCGAGACGCAGGAACAAGCCAACGCTCCTGAAGCCAGCGAGGCTCCACCAACTGTCGAGGTCGCCGAGGACCAACAGAAGGAAAAGAGCGTTGAGCAGCATCAGGAGGAGGCTCAGCCAGCCAGCGAAGCCCAGTCGGCGACACAAAAGGAGGAGTAAACTCATCCTGTCTTCTTCCCATGGCACTACCATGGTCTCCTTTCTCTCTTTTGTATTATAGGGACGGATAAACTTAGCAGCGTACGGAGCTGGTGGCGCTAGGCCTGGCATAGCAAACAAACATGACGGCAGGTGGAGAGTGGGCTGCATCTGTCTTGGATCCTGTATGACTACATATAATGTGATTTGTGAAAATCTGACTTGGCGTGTTGCATGCATCGCAAAACCTCAACTGCTCCAAGACATTCTTGGTTCGCTACAGAGATCAGTACCCAGGACTTTGTTGGTACAGACTGACAACCAGGATGAGGACGAGGAAGGTATCAGATGTCGATGTAGTTGTGGGAATGTGACCTGCCGTGCCGATGCCAGGTCTTCCGACATCTTTTGGCTTTGCAACAACATCTGCCGGTCGGCAACAAAGACATGGTAAGCTAGTAAAAGTAAGTTGCAGACTAAGCCTTGCGGTCCCAGGTTCGAGGACTTTCAGCCTCAGGCCCAGTGTTCTCACCCGATCAACCGGATGGACCGCTAACCAGCTCTCCCGCAATCGGATGCCGCGGTGCACAATGCAGGGATCGGGTATCCTTGGACAACGTCACGAACTAGCATCTGATCTCGGAATCTGCTCCAGTACGCTAAGCGCGTTTCCAAGACGTGTGATTCGTCGTCGGCACCTGGAGCCGCACTACACTACTCAACTTCAGGGACCACCAGGTCCACAGTGTCTAGAACACGTTTGCAGCCAGGGTCACGACTGTGGGCACTCTAGATCTAAGCGGTAGCTGATCATTTCTACGTACCGCTCGCACATGCCAGCGGCTTCTTCTTTTCTTTTCGGCCCATGATGGGACTGGCAACGACGCGAAACCCCACCCATCGCATCCGGCGGCGAGGTCGGGCAGAAAAGTCACGCAGCAGCTCGGGCAGAGTTGCTACAAGTCTTTAGATTTGTCCATGATCTCCGCGTGACCCCAGTGACCAACGCCCTATTTGTTGCAAGATCAACAACTTTTGACTTGTATTTCGCCGACAGATCACCTTTGCAAGGAAAAAGGAATTTTCTCGAATATAATTTTGGGCATTAAGCTGTGGCTGAGGCATGGTTGGTGATGCGCGTGAGATCCCTAACATCTTCCCTGCTTGCCCTGTGTGGCAAATGCAGAGGAAGTGTCGCGAGCCTCATGTGCTCTTTGTGGGAATGTTCGCCACTTCCCATAAGCTAAAAAGAAGCCTTCTTCTCGCATTTCTGTCCTCCGCGGAGCAAATACTGGCACACGGCCGCGCCCACTCGACGCACTGTGAGTATTATAAATTAGAAATGCGGTCTAGCCGCGCATCGCTTTTTTCAGAAAACCCCTCTTTGTGCGTCAGATTCCCATGCTTGCAACATCGTAGACTTTTGCGTCGGTTTTTTTGGGCTGCGTTTGGAAAGTGTGGTGGCATTGCATATCTTGCAGGAGCCAACTGGTCTCTCTTTCTTTCTTTTTTCTTTTTTGCGATAATAGTCCTATTCTCGCATTTTTATATTTCGCCGCAGTTGTCGTTACTCTCCGTTAGCTGTGCTGTTGGAGAAGAGCTCGTCGCCTGCGATGGCGCCCGACTCTCAAAACACCCACCATTTCATGAACAGCAAGGATGGGCCTACACCTACCCAACACTCCTACGATAACGACAACAACAACCAAAACATCCACGACGGCGATTCGTACATTCAGCAAAGCATCGAACAACCCAATCCGCCAATCGCTACCATCGTAAACGCTGCGACCTCGGGTCCCTATATGATATACATCGTGACCGATACTTGCTATCCGACCGCCTCGAGCTTTCATGATAACATCGGCACCGCGCACATCACTTCGGTGCATTCCACAAAGGCAGCAGCCAATAGCCGAGCCAAGAAGATTATCTACGAGAACGATGGCGACTGCACGGTTGACCTTGATAAGATTATCGAGGAGGTGAAACAGGGCTTGTACATTGGGATTGGGGTCGGTGGTAAAGAAGAATCGAACGGCTGTTGTTATGCGAGGAAGTGCGAGGTGGAAGGCAAGATTGTGGACGAAGACAGCGACAGCGAGGAGACAAGTGGGGAGAGTGGCGACAGTGATCTTGTGGATGGTATGGGAGAGCAAGACGCTGACGTGGAGATGGGTTGATGAGGGAAAGAAGACGATACACATGACAGAGAGAAGCTGTGACCGACGTACGCAAAGGGGAGATCTGACGTTGATGCATACTACCGGCGTCATCCACAAAAGAGAACATCTGGGTGGGATACTTCGCCAGCCGTGACAGGCATTGGAAGTATGGACATTCAGGGGACTTGTAGGATGCGGCTAGGCAACCTTACTGTAGTCGGCACTGGCAGCAATGTCCAGTTCAGGCACACGAAGGGGTTAACGGCATATCAACCATTGGACTGACACGTCCAGCTCATAGAGCTTTCTGCACGCTTGTGGTGAAACACGGCGTTTGGCACATCGCATACACAGATATAGACAACGAGCATACAATGAATTAAAGGGGATGGTGGATGGCAACATCAATGGCTGAGTGGATGAACACGCCAACAAACAATGTACGATAGTTTTCTTATGCCGCATACAGTGAGGAATCAACCTAAACTCTTCTCCAGTGTTCGTGTATGGAAGCAAAGGGTATGCTTGGAGTGGGTGGATATAGGTTCGTCGATGCTGTAGTGTGGTTGAAGATGCTTGGAAACTGCTGGCCCAGGAGCGGTGCACCCGCCAGTCATTTCCCCGCCCCCGCCCGCGGGCAACGCACGTCATCGGATGCGCGAAGCAGGAACAGCATCTCTATACAACTTGCACATGCCGCAACCCAAGATGTCGCAAGCACTAACTGTATCTCTGAAAAATGTCCGCTGGATACTTCCCGAAACGCGAAAAGGTAGGCCTTGAAGACCTCTTCAAGGGCCTGGTTACAGCCTGCCATATCCTCCACAATGCAAAAATCCTAGACGCATATGGACACATCTCGGTGCGGTCGCCGGATAACCCTACGACCTTCTGGATGCCTTGTAACATGCCGCCAGCACTCGTCAGCTCACAAGACGATTTGGTTGAATACAACGTGGACGGTGCGGAGGCGGTCGAGAAGAATGCGAAGCCAGGCTACCTCGAGAGGCACATCCATAGTGAGATATACAAGAGATTTCCTGCCATCAACTGTGTGGTGCATAGCCATGCTGCCGACGTGCTGCCGTATTGTGTAAGCGGTGTGCCACTGAAGAACACCATACACATGGCTGGCTTCTTGGGTAAGTTTCCCGAACCACAATATCTTGCCAGGCGCTGATGCATTCGATCTAGGTACCAACGTTCCAGTCTGGGATGCCTCGAGCCACTACCCATCAGGCTCCAAGCATGACCTCCTTGTCCGCGATAGTACACTTGGCTCGTCCCTCGCAGCTGCATTTAAACCAGCAACTTCAACTGGCTTCATATATTCAAAAGTACGCTCCGCTCTGCCGACGCAGCTCGGTGGTTCATCCGCAGAGCCCAAGATGGAGCCTGATCACGCAGTTGTTCTGCTCCAAGGCCATGGCTTTACGACCGTCGCGCACGGCATCGAGGAAGCTGTCTACCAAGCGATATACACAAGGGAGGCAGCCACGGCGCAAACGACGGCCATGACAATATTGAACGCCCACACCGGCTACGCGCTTGAAGGCAAGGTAGATGTTCAAGCTGGTGGGAAGATCAAGTCAGGACATGCCAAGGTTGAGGGCGGTAATTTGAAGTACTTGAGCGACAGCGAATGCCATGATGCCTGGGAGTCGATTTCAGGCACACTGACGAGGCCGTGGGCGCTTTGGTGCCGAGAGGTGGAAGTCAATCCACTGTACAGAAATGACTGCCCAGGTGGCGATGATTGAGCGACAAGGGAATATCGCACTGTGGCTAGGGTCATCTTTAGTAACATTCGTTCTTTTAACTGTTTCTGACGTGCCTTCATATATAGTCTTATTCGCGTTTACGAAAGAACTAATGTCTCGCGAGTCCTCGGCTCTATTTCAAACCTTAATATCCAGAAGAGCCGTAGCACACCCACCTTGCAGACGACTTACCGCGACGCTTTTTTGCCATTTCAATAACGTCCCATCTCTACATGAAACCCTTATTCGCTCCTTGCGACCGATTTTCCGGACTTTTTTGACCATATCGGCAACGGCGTTACCCCATGCAGTCCAGCCAAGTTGTTCCATAGTGCTTGTCTTACAGGCCAAGATGTTCCGCCACTAATTGTGCATATACCCCGGACTCCGGAATCATCCACCCCTCATAGCAATCTTAGCCCCTAGGCCAACATCATCACTCAATATTGTCGATCCGGGGAATTAAAGCGATCTCATGCCGAGGTGTATGTACCCAGCATGAATCACTACCTCTGCTTAGTATACCACCCGCCCTTTCGGTCTCATAGTGCGGTGAATTGGGATGTCAAACGACCGCAAATGTGGCTTTTCTTGGATAAGAGATGTGGAAGCTTTCTGGCTAGTGGAAGACCCGGGTGGGCGTGATGAGTATTTCGGAGCATTTGCAACCGACTGGTATTGCACAATGTAGCAAGTCCTTGCTGTTGGTTCGAGAGGTGAGCATATAGGTAAGGGTATCAAACCAACATTCTTTTTACAAGTCTGTGCTATTCCTTTGACTTCTACTGGCCATTCTGTTGATCAATCGTTTCGAAACCTTCGTCTCTTGCCATGTTGTTCAAGAGCGCACTGTTGGCTGCGGCCACGCTCTCTCCCTCGGCACTGGCCGCTTTTGGCGCCTCACAGAGTGGGGACAACATCGTTGTTGATACTGGCGCGTCCAATCCCCTCATCTTTACCGTCAATGCAAAGAGCTGTGATATCACTTCGATCAAATACCGAGGAGAAGAGTTGCAGTCGTCGGAGAAGGGATCGCACATCTCGTCTGGGCTAGGCACTGCAACTGTCAAGTACGAGACGATTAGCAGTCAGTTATATATCCCTTACTTCGGGATTGGGAGCTGATAGAATGAATCAGGCCAATATGTCAAGGTTACTTGCACGACTAGTACCTTGACGCACTACCTTGTCGCGAAGTCCGGCGAAGCGACAATATACATGGCGACATATACGACTGCCGAGCCCAGCATCGGTGAATTGCGCTTCATCGCTCGTCTGAAAAGTAGCGCTCTACCACTAGAGTATCCCTTTGGCGTCGTATCAACAACTGTTGGGTCGACATCGACGGTCGAAGGGTCAGATGTGTTTGTAGTAAATGGGCAAACGCGAAGTAAATTTTACTCGAGTGAGCGCTTCATTGACGACACTACAGTAAGTGTCCCTCCAAGCCATCATCTTACTGAGTTTCTTTATTGACGTGTTTTAGCACTGTGTCTATCGTGATGGTACCGACGCAGTTCACGCCTGCTTCCTTATGAACTCCTACTCTTACGAAGCCTCATCCGGTGGCCCTTTCCACCGCGACATCAACACAAACAATGGAGGTAAGAGATGTCTCTCTACAACTTGAATATGAGACATATACTGACTTTGTATACCCTCGCTCTAGGAGACTACACTTCATTGACATTCTACATGAACAGTGGTAAGGAATGACCCTGTAAGAACTGCATATGAGGCATACACTGATTTCATACGCGTACATTTCAGGCCACGTTCAAACAGAGAAGTTCCGTCAGGGTCTGCACGGGCCGTATGCCCTAGCCTTCTCTCGCTCTGGTATACCCGCAGGTGGCTCCAGTATGGACACTACATTCTTCAAGGACCTTAGTGTAACAGGCTATGTGGCTCCATCCGCCAGGGGTACAGTGACTGGAACGGCAACAGGTGTTAGCTCCAGTTTCCAACGGGTGTTGCACTGGTACAACGATGCATCCCAATACTGGGCGTACGCTGATAGCAGCGGCAAATTCACATCGCCAGCAATGAGGCCTGGCACCTACACCCAGGTCCTCTACCAGGGGGAGTTCAAGGTCAAAGCCGCCAGTGTGACAGTCTCAGCCGGAAAGGCAACCACTGCGAACATTGCTGCCGATACCGAAACCAAGACTTCAGTCTGGCGCATCGGCGAATGGGATGGCCAGCCCAAAGGCTTCCGCAACGCAGACAAGCAATTGCGAATGCACCCCACAGATTCGCGCATGGCATCCTGGGGTCCATTGACGTATACAGTTGGCTCTAGCACCCTTGACAGTGTCCCCATGGCTATCGTCAAAGACAACAACCCCCTTACCATCAAGTTTTCGGGCACCTCTACCGCCGCGGCGACACTCCGTGTTGGTACCACACTCTCCTTCGCTGGTTGTCGTCCATCGATTGTAGTCAATAGCTTCAGTGTTGCCACACCTGCTGCGCCAACAAAGATCGATTCGCGTGGTTTGACTCGAGGCGCATATCGGGGGTATGGCGAGGTCTACAACTATGATATACCAGCTGGTACGTTGGTTAGCGGAAGCAACACCATCAAGATTAGCTGTACGAGCGGAAGTTCCGGTACTGGCTTTCTGGCTCCAAATGTGATTTTGGATGCGATAGAGTTGTTCAATTAGGTGTTTGAACGCCTCGGGACGAGTGATATATGACTGTGGAGTCTACAAGATATATGACGAAGGCGCTTCAATGAAGCTATATAACCGATTCTTTCTTCTTGTTAATATTTATCATTTCATTCACATTTTGTGAATAACTCTCTGCAGATTCTGTACGTTTGTCTTCCTTCCTGATTGATGTATATCTCTCTATACCTCGTTTAGCTCTTAGCAGGCCTCCTCCTCAGCTAAGGTTCGTACTGGGACATGAAGTAATTCCCGCGTGGGATTGATAGTTGTCAGAAATCATTTTACAGTACCGAGGATTACATAAAGTTTCAGCGCGCAATCCAGTGTGCATCAGATGCATTGAACACAACTTTTCATAGCAGCACTGACCACGATGACAATTATGTTTGCCAAATTAGGAGCCTGCCGTTACCGCGCAAGGAAGGACGATTCCACCGGCTTCGCCGACAGTCGTAAAAGCTTACAATCGTATGTCTTTCCCATGTCTATGGGCATAGCATTCATATTCGGCAATTCAAAGTCTTAATAGGGCAGGTATACGTCCCACATCCTAAATTAGATGTCTGCGAGTCAGTGACAAGACTGACACAGGGATCGGGGAGCGCTGGATGTCTGGGGACCCACCGTGAGGGTATTCACCGGGTGGGGACGTTGTGGGAATCGCTATATCTGCTCCCGCCTAAAGTGCGGGATCTATGAACTAGCGACGTCAGGTTCCTGCGGAAATACCATCGACTGCCTAAGATATAACACCGGTGGTCTTTTCGGATCCTTCTAACGCGAAAGCGAGGATCGGGAAGCTTGTATAAGCGGTCCAGAGTACCGCGGGTTTGCCGCGGCGTCCCAGCCCTTGCTGCATGCGTCAAGCGATCCGGTTGTTGGTACGGCGTGGTCTTTTGTATGAACCTCGCGAAATGCCAAGCGAGAATAAGCCTGGAAATGGCCTGGAAATGTGATTCTTTCCAGAGTAGGAAGCTCGGGTCTGGGACCGATGTGCAGTTTATTTGCTTGAACCTTAGCGGAGTTGATGAATAAAACTACCCTTTGACGCATGCACACGTGCGATAGAAAGACGTGCCAGAAGAGTCATGTTGTGGTCTTTAGCGAAGGGAGGCGACCAGTCTTTGTGTGGAGCTCCCGTAAATCATCGTCGATGTGATAATCTTGTCCAGAACTGGTGAGGCATGCATATGGCGCGAGTCGATAGGTCACTAGATTCAGAGAAGAAGATTTGAACGATGTCTAATGCTGTTACCGGACCGACCCTTTCCCAACTCTAATCAGCTCTTGCGGTCTAAGCATACACGTTCTCACGGTTACCAAGAGTTGTTCCTCGTGAAGCTAGCGGCCAGCGGGACTGATTATTCTATACCGGATTCCGGTGCCATATCGGAGCCCAGTGCACTGCTGCAGACAAAGTGCTCGGGAGGCTGCATTAGCCCAATATACGTGGCAGGATTCCCAGACGGGGATGGAATCCAACTACCGAAGTCAAGCAGCCGGACACGAAGGGCTAGGATACTTGTGTTTACCCTGTTTGTTCGAGAATCATCCGACTTGTCAGCTCAGCAATGGCGCCATGTGGTCCGCTGATACTCCAGGGCTATCAGCGATACCGCCTTCTAATCAGCAATCAGAGACCCGTGCATATACAGATATACACCCGAATAGTGGAGAACGTGATCTGAAACCAACGCGCGCAAACTCGAATTCTGTGGAGGTGGCTGAGATCTATGAACGGGACGCGTCTTTCAACGATCCGACTAGCTGGATCTGCGGTCACTGACCACAAGCGCCTGAAGATCGCGGAGGCAGGTACTCGATGCTTCTGGAATGAAAGACATCGGAAGTTTAGTTGATTGATGCTAGAATACGGGGTGACGCCCCAGTGATTGATGCGTGATCCGTGGATCACCGATGAAGCAGGCTTTAGTGCGCATTTATGCAGGTTTCAATACGCGCGGCATGCTCTCCAGTAATGCTAGCTGTCAGTAAGTCATGCCATGTGTGCACCCTGTATCCCCGGCGGTATGACTGGATTGTATAGCAACGATGAAAAGTATGCTGACGTCCTCCAAACAGGTACAACACTGGTCGTTAGTTATCGGATGTTCCGAAGGTTGATCGTGATGAATTCCAAGGCGAATCAGAAAGCGTACAGATCAATGGCTTGGAGTATAACATTGCTGGCTGAGCACCCTGGGCACAATTTACGACAACAGGAACTTAGACCGTCTGCAACTAAACATGACCACAGGAGCCATGTTGAAGAGGAATCGTATGTTTCTTCCTCATCAATGGTCAGCAAGATTGCCATCGCAT